GGGAAGGAATCATTCAACTTGTCTGAGAGAACATTTTTGTGTTCTGTCCACACTAGAGATTACCCTTCGCCAAGGGCTTTGCACCCTTTACTGGAACCACATTTCCTTACTTTATTCTAGAAGCATATCCTAGAATCTTAGAGTTTAAAAATACAGTTTGTAACTATTTCAAAGGTCTAAGAGTCATACCTTTTTGTTTTCTTACTGAAAATAATGTTAATCAGAGAAACCGATTGTTTTGCTTTTTATTGCTCTGTGAGAAATTGGAGGGTTATATGTTTTGTTGTTAGGTTAACTAAACTCAGAAATTGACAAAGGAAGGACTGGATAAACACCGGGTTTTCAGTAGGAAAACAACCCCAGTCTTGTTTTAGCAGCCACTTGTTCCTGAGGGGTTGGGGGGGGGGGTGCTTTTAAAGGTGGAACAAACCCTCTTCTGTGTTAAATCAAAAGGATGGTCAGAATTCACAAGGGCAGATGCTACTTCAGTTTAAAACGAGCCATAGATGATACAAAATCCTCTTGGGGCTGAAAATCACTTCCTATCTGCATGGCTTTACTAACGGGCCTCTGTTTTCCACTATCTTTTGCAAAGTCTTGATCAGTATTTTTCCAGCGTCCAAATTGGAAGGTCGATATTAGGCCGATGCTAAATTATGTAGTCAAGAAATGAAAGCAGAATTTTATGCTAGAGATGCCTTTATTCTCCTTCCATCTGGAAAGGAGTTTCATGGTCAAATTACTTGTTAGTGCAATATTTAAATGATGGAATTTTGAGGCCATAACTTTAATCTAAAAAGTTGCAAGGGTAATCTAAAACTTGAGCAAATGGCAAATAGAACTTAAGGGACTCCCACTTCCAGAGGCTGTTTAAGTTGTGGCTGTGAACATTTGCTGCAAAGATTTAAAAAGTCATACACACACACACACACACACACACACACACATACACACATACACACATACGTATGATGGGCAGCTCAGAGAGTCAAATCTAAAGAGTTCTTAAGCCAAGTTTGGTTCAGCTTCTTTGGTACCCCTGCTGTAATTTTAAGATAATGCCTCATTGTACCAGTGTTTTAATATATGTAGATCATATAACCCCTATGAAACCACAGCTTTTTTTTTTTTCAGATAGAAGGATTTTTCTTCCAATTCTTGTGCTATAAAAAAAGATAATATTTATACCAAGTAGTTTTAAAATTAAGATTCATTAAGCTTAAATATAGGCTAAGTATTGGCTGGTGGAATTTTTCCACCACCATGTCTGTGGTTCCTAATGGGCCATCAAAATCATGGTTCCTTGTCCTGTCTTTCCACAGCCCTTAGTCCTTGGTCTGCTGTGATATTTATGTTGAGTTGACCCTCTTAGTGCCTCTCTAGTTTGAAGGTCTCTTAATATTTAACTGTGAAAACTCAGAAATGAGAAAGGAGAGAAGTAGGATGGTTTTTATGTTTTGACACTTTGAAATTATTATGGTTGAATAATTTTCCAGAACAAAGAAACAACTATGCTTAACAAAGCGCAACAAAACAAAACAAAATACAAATGCAAAGCATTTTGCGTGTCAGTGGTTTTATTCTACCTGTAAAAAAGTAATGTTAAACACTTAAGGTATTACAAGGCCTAACCAATCACCTTTATGGAAAAAGATAAAAGTATTTCTTTTAACCCAAGAAAAAGAAGGAAAGGGTAGGTCCAACAGAAAACTCACCTCTTAAATAAACATAAAATGTAAAAAGTTGGGAAATTTAAAGGATTTTCCATGTGGAAACTGAACTTTTGTCTTGGAACTTCTGTTGGCGCCAAGCCTCATATGCAGCTCAATAACTATTTGTTGGGAATAATGAATGAAAGAAGGAAAAAATGTGTAACATCCCAGCACCCAGGAGGTGGTTTCTCTTTCTCTTGCCTCACACTGAGCTTCCTTTACACTCATTTCATTCCCTGAGAAAAGCTAATCCTGGACAAGCTGCACAACATGAGGAAGCTCCTTAGGCATACTTTCTTAGTGGAAATCAGATCTGCTTATGCCCTGCAGGGAATGCTGAGGTCAGAGTAAATGCCTATAAAGAGCTCTTTCAAAATGAACATTTCCCTCATAGAGGAAGCTGGAATTTCCTCATATGGAAATCAAACCAACTTTATTTCACTTCACATTTTTTCCAATGGAGGTAGAAAAACCCAACTCATTGCTTGAAAGAATTCCCCTCATATGTAAACACTGTTAAGAAGTCTGGCTTAAGTTCAAAGGCATTTTTTGGTGTGTGTGTGTGTGTGTGTGTGTGTGTGTGTGTGTGTGTGTGTGTTTTAAACTCTGTCCTCATATACCTATTTCTCTTAAAGATTCCTCATTTTAAATCTGACACTACAAGTTTGTTGCTAGTGTGGAAGTTCAAACACATCACTTGTTTTCGTTCCCCAGGGAAAGTGACTTGGTTTTAGCTTGTCTCCAAGTGTTTATAATATCATGTTCAATGGCAGGTTTAAAAGAGGGGTCTAAGACTATATGTGAAAACTAGATCAATCCCATAAAATATAGAGCTTTGTAGGATGAGGATGGGTTTGTGAACATTCATTCTTCTCTTTGTTTTTTGTTTGTTTTTTTGTTGGTAAATGTAAACAAACTTCCTTTTGCTTTACCAGTAAAATGCCTTCAGCCAACTAAAATTTAAATTTGGAAGTTACAGAGCTTGATATTGAATACATCAGTGATTCTTATAAGAGAAATATGCCAATTTACCCCGAACAACCTGAGATGTATTAATTATGAAATTGTGTTGGGTGGGTTTTTAATAACTACTTTCTAAAGTTTGGGCACAATTTGAAGGGTGACTTTTTGGTCTGTATGTTGTACAGCCAATCTAGAATTACATCACATTAGATTACAAAGTGATCTGCAACTTCATTGGCAGGACATCTGCTAAATGGAGTGTAGGATCCAACAGGGTTTTCTTAGGGCATTATTGTCCAGTGAAGGAAGCAGAGGACTCTGGGTCATTAGCAGCATCTTCATAAAAGCTGGAGAGGCCTACTCCCTATCGCTCTGAAGCTGGCCTACTGGTGGTGAGTGGGATAGTGAGGAATTGGTTTTTAATAAATAGGTGGTCCGTCCAGATCACTGTATTTATTTTGAGAAGGAAGATAAAATGATTGTCTGTTACATTCCACTGTCGGCTTTCTGCTTAGTTTCAGAATATGCAAGTACCGGCTTCTGAAAAACAAGTATCACAATGTACCAAATGCTTTACTATCACATTCCTGAACTTAAGTATGCTCATAATTTGTGTAAATATGTCTCTTAAATGATTTGGGGAGATGTGATTTATTTTTCATATTTTAAAAATGCATTCCATTTTAAATAAAGTATCGAATGAGATGACTGATCTGTGGACCCTTTGAAGGCCTTGCTGACCGGGCATAGACACTATGCTTTCCTATGGGAGAAGGGTTCTAAAGGGCTTGTCTGTTGAAAAGCCCTTGACCATTCTGAGAAGAAAAAAACCATCTGGGGGATTGGAAATTTACTTTTAAAAACACTAGCTGGGCATTTTGAATATAGGATATAAAAATTCACTTAGATCTTTTGGGAAAATAATTACCTTTCAGAATGCTAATGAATTCGAGTTGAATTTTCCATAATGCCCCAGAGGATAAGAAATGGTTCCAATAATTGGCTTGAATTACTTGAGTCCCAGAAAGATTCTAGTCCTTCTATGTCTCTTGAGAGGGTAGAGCCTTGACTCAGAGATCACTCTTCAAACAGGTATCTATAAAGCTTCCTGTTTTATCTTGAGAGCAGAATAGAGGCTTGATTCTTTAAAGGAAAATAGCATAATTTTACAATCTCCATTGGCATCTAAAAAAACCTTTAAATCTCAAGACTTTAACATAGAAAACTTGAAAGTATTTTTCATTTCTCTACTGTTTTAAGCAGGATTTTTTTTAAAGCAAGATTTTATTTTTTTTAAAAGAAGAAATGAACCCTGGCCAGGTAGATCAGTTGGTTAGAGCAGGTTCAATCCCCGGTCAGGGCACATACAAGAATCAACCAATGAATGCATCAATAAGTGGAACAACAAATCAACGTTTCTCTGTCTGTCTGTCTCGCTCCTTTCCTCTCTCTTCCCTTCTCTCAAATCAATAAATAAATAAAAAAGAAGAAATGAAACCTAAGAAGACAAATTACTGCCATTGGGAGGGGACTTCAGGGGTATTGTGTGAGATAAAGGTATGTCATAGGCGATAAAGCATGGTTGGTAACAGCCAGGATTTGAGAGTCATAGTGCATGGGCTCAAGTCCCAGGTCCATGTCTTACTAGCCATGCAGATCTTGAGTTACATAACCTTGTGGAAACTCAATTTTCTTCTCCACAAAATGTAGTTAATAAAGGTATCTACCTTAGGGTTATTGAGAAGATTTAATAAGTTAGTACATACATGATTTTTTAGACCCTCCCTGTATTTTAGGGCACACAAACTGGCTTGGGAATCATTATAGTCATATTAACATATGATATCTGGCGTTTTAAAGCTATAAATTATATTTCCTGAGATCTCAGCATTTCTTTCTTTTTTTAAAAAAAAATATATTTTATTGATTTT